GCTCACCGCAACCTCCGCCTCCTGGGTTCAGGCAATTCTCCTGCCTCAGCCTCCTGAGTAGCTGGGATTACAGGCACGCACCACCATGCCCAGCTAATTTTTGTATTTTTAGTAAAGATGGGGTTTCACCATGTTAGTCAGGCTGGTCTTGAACTCCTGACCTCATGATCCTTCCGCCTCAGCCTCCCAAAGTGCTGGGATTACAGGTGTGAGCCACCGCGTCCGGCCAGTTTCAAAAAATTCTATCTAAACCTCATTAGAACCACCATGGCATCCTAACTAGCCCCAGAAGATGGCTGGCTAGCCAATGACAGGTAGGATTCCTCAAGGGAGGCATAACCTAAAATAGGCACAGTCACACAGGGGCATAAAGGCCAAGGCAAAAAAAAAAAAAAAAAAAAAGGCCCTGGCACTACGCCTCACTGGAGGTACTAAAGCAGAGCAGCCACGAAGCATGCCTACCCTGTATTAGTCATCCCAAAGTAAAAGAAAGTAAAACTTTAGCTTAAAACAACCAAGGTGCAACTTACATAAAAGGCAATTGGCCGGGGGTGGTGGCTCATGCCTGTAATCCAAGCACTCTGGAGGCCAAGGCAGGCGGATCACCTGCGGTCAGGAGTTCAAGAACAGCCTGACCAACATGGTGAAACCCTGTCTTAAAAAAAATAAAAATAAAATTTAAAAAAGGCAATTTAAAAATCTGTTTTATCCAGGTACTCTCTCCTGCATATAGTTTAATACTATCTTCAAAAAGACCATTATAGTGGTGTGTTCTATTAAAAGTATTACTTACATAAAAGTGCACTAAAGGGAGGGATCAAGAGGAGAAAGAAGTTGATAAAACCACATAATATAAAAATAAAATTTAGCTGGGCTTGGTGGCGCATGTCTGTAATCCCAGCTACGTGGGAGGCTGAGGCAGGAGAATGGCTTGAACCTGGGAGGTGGAGGTTGCAGTGAGCTGAGAGCATGCCACTGCACTCCAGCCTGGGCTACACAGAGAGACTCTGTCTCAAAAAAATAATAATAATAAAATAAAATAATAAAATAAAATTAATGTTTCAGAATACTGAAGAGAAAAATACAATTAATGCAGGAAAGAAAAGGAGAAATAAAACTTTTCTTTCATAAGCAAACTTTCCTGAGTTATTCCCCCTCTTGTGGAATTGTATCCTGCTTTGCAAGTTTTATAAGTTTATAAATTCTTATATTTTTGTTCTCTATAGCTAATAACTGTGTTTCTGCAACATGGCAAAGGTCATAAAAATGCCCAGTCAGGCAGACCTCTGGCTTTCTGGGTACTGTAACAGAAAGCAATAGATAAGGCACGTATTAGAATCCTTGAGCTCTACAAATAGCAAACATCTGGGTTGCACAGCAAGCGTCATCTGTAAGCCTAAGGCAGGTGCCTGTCATTGCTTAATAAATTGCTTTGTTCTATACTTGCAAACTTATTTCAGCGCCACTGTGTACTTCATGTATAAAAGGCCAAGCCCTGTCTTTGTTAAGGGCTCAGCCATTTTAAATCCAAGTAAACCTGGGCCAGTGTACACGTAAAATAAACTCCTTCTGCAACCTCAACAGTCTTTTCAGTCTCTAAAATTCTGCAACATTCCCATTCGTGAACCCACAGCCCGAGGCAGGATTCTCCCCAATGACCCTTCTGTGGTACCTGCACAATCCGGGAGAGACTTGGTGCTGTGGGTGCAAAGCTGCTCAGGGAGGGCTCCAGGCCAGGGCACAGTCACTGTGTAGGGAAGATACAGAACGCCCCTGTTCTGGCTGTCAGCAAAGCCACCATCTTGTGGCTGAAGGAAACTGAGGCCAAGCTGGGCAAGAACTCGGGGGTGCAGATTGTGGAGCTGACAGCGGGAGGCCTGAGTCCTGCCACAGCCGCTTCCCACTGGTCCCAATCACCCTCTTCCCCTCTCAGGATGTCAGAACTGACACTCTCAACATTTCTAGGCTTCCAGGGGGTCCCGGCATCTTAGCTGTGGATCTCCCATTACCTGCAGTTCACCGGGGCACACAGCCTGGGTCTCTTGGAGCAGAAGACACAGAACAATGAAGAGTAGACCTGGAACTCTAGCTGCAGCGAGAGACAGAGGCTCTGCCAAACGCAAAATCCGCGCTGTTACCTCCAGCTGCGTGCCTGATTAAACAGTTCCCAGCCCAGCATCGCTCATCAGATAACTTTTTTATTCTGAGATGGACTCTCCCTCTGTCCTCCAGGCTGCAGTGCAGTGGTGCGATTTCAGCTCACTGCAATCTCCACCTCCCGAGTTCAAGCGATTTCTCTGACTCAGCCTCCCAGGTAGTTGGGACTACAGGCATGCACAACCATGCTGGGCTCATTTTTGTATTTTTAGTAGAGATGGGATTTCTCCATGTTGGTCAGGCTGGTCTCAATCTGTCGACCTCAGGTGATGCGCCGCCTCGGCCTCCCAAAGTCCTGGGATTACACTGCACCTGGTCTGAATAACGTTTAAATTCCACCCTCTCAGGCTGTGAGATTAGATGATGGGCTGAGTATGTGATTAGATGATGGGCTGAATGAAGAAAGAGTGTCAGCCTAGGCTGCAGTCTTCTCAGCAAGGCTTATTTCCTGAGCTCAGCTGAGCTGAGCCAGGCCCACCCTAGAGAATATTTGCATTCAACCTTGTGTATAAGGTCATATGCATTTGTTTTTTTTGTTTTTTTTTTTTGAGACGGAGTTTCACTCTTGTTACCCAGGCTGGAGTGCAATGGCGGGATCTTGGCTCACCGCAACCTCCGCCTCCTGGGTTCAGGCAATTCTCCTGCCTCAGCCTCCTGAGTAGTTGGGATTACAGGCACACGCCACCATGCCCAGCTAATTTTTTGTATTTTTAGTAGAGACGGGGTTTCACCATGTTGACCAGGATGGTCTCGATCTCTTGACCTCGTGATCCACCCGCCTCGGCCTCCCAAAGTGCTGGGATTACAGGCTTGAGCCACTGCGCCCGGCCCGGTCATATGCATTTGTAAATAACATATTACATCGTGGCTGGGCATGGTGGCTCACGACTATAATCTCAGTACTCTGAAAGGCCGAGGTGGGTGGATAATGATGTCAGGAGTTAAAGACCAGCCTGGTCAAGATGGAATTAGCTGGGCAGAGCGGTGCTTGCCTGTATTCCCAGCCACTCAGGAGGAGGCCGAGGCAGGGGAATCACTTGAACACTGGCCGGGGAGGTTGCAGTGACCTGAGATCACACCACTGCACTTCAGCGGGGTGACAGCAATACTGTGTCTAAAAGAAAAAAAAAGTTTAGCTTTTTTACCTTCCTGGCTTGTCGTCCTTCGAGCAGGCAACCTGAGATTTTAAAAAGGAGGGAATTTTCTGAAATAAAATGTGAGCCACGTGTGAAATTTGAATTTTCTAGTAGCCAAACTTCAGAAAGAAACAAGGAACAGGTTCAATTGATTCTAACAATGTAATTAACCCAATATATCCAAAATGTCATTTCAATGTATGAGGAATATGTAATTATTAATGAAGTATATAAATATTTGCAACTACATTTTGAAAGTAACTCTATATTTTACCTTTCTAGAACATTGCAGTTCAGACCAGGCTCATTCCTGGCACCCAGGATCCACACATGGCAGCTCTGATGTGTGGAAGGGCCAGAGGTGAAGGAAGAACCTCCCCCTACCAATATCTCTCTTCAGTTTCGAGGGTGGAACAGACAGTGGCCATAGAAATAGCTGAGGGTGGCAGGAATAAAATACCACAGGTAAACCACTGCTTACCACCTGTTGCCCACCTTTCTTTTAGAGATCAGGCAGTGAACAAAAGATGATGGCATCACAGAAGTAAAAAAAAAACAAACTCCATGTCTTCAATTCTGTCCACACTCTTAAACTCTTATATTTAGATATGGAGGCCGGGCGCGGTGGCTCAAGCCTGTAATCCCAGCACTTTGGGAGGCCGAGGC